TGCTCGGAAACGACCTTGCACGTAAATGTAACTTACCTATTTGGATGTGCTATAATGGTCCATGACTTAAAAATACCACCGATTGAAAATTCGACCTCCCAACGGCCAAAAAGGCAAAAATGGACTTGAAATGGAAAACATGAAATCCAAAAAATATAAAATGGAGTCAAATGACCGTTTGGCCCTTGGCCATACTTCATGCATGATTAATAAGACCCTATGAAAGAATGAAAATGGAATTTCCACACCCAATGCAACCATGGTGTGACAAAGACTTGGCATTTTTCAATATTTTCATAATGTTTCATGAAGTTAAAAAGTTACATAGAGTACAAGATACATGTCATTGGCCTCCGGCCTCATCTTATACATGTCAAATACATTGCATAGAGTGCACTTATGTACACATTACATACATGGAATCAAATATACACATTTTGACATAAAAGGCTATAAGTGGCATTTCAAGCTAACCTTTATAAGAATTAAGACCTTTAAATCTACAATCATCCAAGCAATGATGAACATCACGAACCAAGTCTTCGTACTTGAAACAGCCCCCCAGTAACTTCAGGGTAAGTAAACAAGTTTACTCATAGAGAATGATCATGCATCGACTCGATTTCTTCAGAGATTTTTACATTGACTTGAAACGAATCAAAAGGGATATGCCACCTAACGTCTATGTCAAAGGTTAGACTCAGGGAGCATCCTAAGGTACTCATGCGATTGAAATGAGATACATGACATGCAAGCATACTGGTTACAAGTGTACTAAACGAAGATGAAAGCATGCGACATAAGTATACAAAACATAGGTATACTAACGAGATTGGAAACACACAAGGCAAGTATATAAGACACGAGTATGCTAAATGGAATCTAGATACAAGAAGCAAGAGAACAGTTTCAAGTATACCGAATGAAGTCTAAATACACGAAGTAAGCATAATGTCTATGCAATTAAACAAGGTACAAACACTTCATATATCACGACAAGGTTTTTGGATCTTCAAGAGATAACACTTGAAATCTAAGGGTTTAGAGATTTTGCATGTTGATATAAATAGTTACATATGGTCCATGCCACCTAGAATCTAAGTCAAGTTACATGTATAGGATCACTCCAGAGTCACGATAGCATAAGGTAACATGAAACGAGATAACTAAGAAATTTAACAAGATTGGAACAATTCAATTAGCACGACAAGTTTAATACATGAAATCAAGAACGAGGCATAATATCTATGCAAGTAAACAAGATTAGAACATTCCAATTAACATGATAAGAATAATACACGAAATCAAGAACAAGACATAATATCTATGAAAATAAACAAGGATAGAACATTCCATATAACACGAAAAGGTCTTAAATCTTCAAGGAACATAACACTTGAAATTTAAGGAGTGAAAATCACGGATGAAGCATAAAATCTATACAATGAAACAAGATTGGAGCATTTCACATAACACGACTAGTTTAAATCTTCAAGGAATAGCAACTTGAAATTTAAAGAGTGAAATCAACCAATGTGGAAACTCGGATATCGTCCGGATTAAAACCGTACTCTTGGGATCACTTTAAGGCTACTAACCCATGAGTACCTTCCCCTAGTGCGCACTATAGTGTAGGGAGCTCTCTATCTCCTATACTAAAACCAAGTTCTAGCCATATCAATTCTTGATTGATATCCCAAGTTTCAAAATCAACAAGTTGTGCAAATCAAGATAGTATCAATATACAAGTAATGCATTAAACCACATTCCATGCACAACCAAGATTTTGGAATACACAAGTCATGCCCTAAGTTTCAACTATAATGGCATGTGAAATGTCAAGAAATCATATAGTACATCTATATAGACCACAAACTAGGATTTAAATCATAAGGAATCCATTGATATGAATATACCACAAGTATAAGACTAATGATTCGATTATTTGTTTAACAACTCTTGAACAATTAAATCATTCCAATATAAGGATGCAAGTTCATTAACTACACTAATGGAGCTAAGTTGCAACAAGTCATGATACATACTAAAAAGACAAAAGCCCCATGAAATACAAGTCCAATTCATTAAAATACTAAGTAGAAATTAATTAACCTAATTAATTAATTTCTCTAAAAATTAAAGTTGTCCAAAAATTCTCAAAATAACATATATGAATGTCCATTTCATGGTGATTGCAAATATCACATCAATTTCACAAAGTGAGCAAGATATCATCATGTATAATTTAATTAATTTAAAATTAATAAAATCTCTAGATTTCAAAGGTTATTCAAATGGTCTCAAATTAATATATATCAAGGATTAAGTTATGGACATGCCATATATCAAGTTAAAAATGGAAAATAAGCATGGTACAATTAAGTAGAATTTAAATCAATTTCTAGAACTTGAACCAAAGCAAGCATACAAGTTGTATAAGTATCAATAACATGCAAAATAACAAGAATATAAACTATAACACCTCATACCTCAATTTGAGATGAAAATCTCAAATCCCCATCGAAAGAAAAGTGCTTCGAATCCGACGAAACTTCGGGGTTTTGTCGGGGACAACACAGTGAACAAGAATCCCAAGGAAGCCCCATGAAAATCACAACTTGACATCAAACCCAAACTCGAAAAATGGTCAGAAATGGGTTCTAATAAGGGGTAAAGGTGCGCGTCATCAAGACGAGCATTAAATACGAAGGCACTACGATGTTCTACCAAGATGAAGGAGCTCAAAAGAAGAGAGAGAAGGTGGCAGTCCTATGGTCTTCCATGGCTGCCGGCCAAAGAGAGGAAGAAGAAGAGAAAAAGTGATTTTTCACTTTATGACTTTCTATTTATAGGAAAACCCTAAAAGTGCCCGAAAGGGTCCAGCCGAGTCCGGAAAAATGGAATTTGAGCAGACGCGCTCAAACGGTGAAACTCCGTTAACAAAAAAGAACCGAAATGAGAAAATATGAGCAACGAAAGAAACGGCGTCAAAAATTGAGTCCCGAGCAGAGAGATATACCCTGAACAAGTTCGGCGGCAACTGGGTCAAAAACTCTGAAACTGGAGAAAAACAATCAGAAGGAAATTCTAAGAGTACACGACTCAAAAAAATGTGAAAACGAATCCCGTACGAGGATCCAGACTCGAAACAAGGTACTTTTGCAATAACTTTCGTTAATTGCACAATGGCCCCTCCAAAAAGGGTTAACTACACTAATGACCAGAATGAAAATATCTTCCAAAAATATTTTCTTAAAAACCCCTAAAATAAAATATCTTCAAAAGATATTTACGAAAAATACCCCATGAAAAGAAAAAGTTTCTGAAGAACTATGCATCCATGCCCCTATAGACACCGGGAGCAACCAGAATACTTTCTTACAAAAGTAAAGATACGTATTTCGTGGAAACCACTTAGAATGAAGATACGTGAAGTCAAAAACCAACTCCAAGCATGAAAGATGAGGTTTTGCCAAAAAGTGACAAACGAGGAAAAGACAAAATAGGGAAAAGGACGAAAAGTGAATAGTGTCAAAAAAGTGAAAATACGGAAATGACTCGGTCCTTAAAGGAAGTTGTCAATCTAAACGAAAGAGTCTCAAAAACCATTTCTGAGCACTCATGATGACACTAAGTGACGAGAAATAGAACTCGGAAAAGAAAATTAAACCGAAAAAAAATTATCCGTAAAATTTCAAAAAAAAGGAAAAGGAGGAAAATGACTGAGTCGTTACAGTTGTTGGGGTATTTGGAAGGCTAGATATAAGTTTGTTTTCGATGGGGCGCGCTGGGATTCTCAACGGGTTGTTGCTATGGTTTGCTCTCAATTTTGGGATTACAAAGATGCCTCTTCTTCCCCTTCCTTTAACCAGTGGCCCGGGGTGTCTGCTTCTGGCTCTTCTCTATCTCTTTCTTTCTCTACTTCATGCTGGATGCCTCCATGTGATGATATAATTAAATGAAATGTGGATGCGTCTTTTCTTTCTTCATCTCAGGTAGGGGGTGGTGGCGCTATCTTTTGCGATTCAAGGGGCAATATTGTGCAAGCAGTGGTTTTTTGTACTTTTCCTACTGCTAATGCAACAGTGGCTGAAGCCATCTGTCTTCGTAAGGCAGTCCTTTGGGCGTTATCATCTTCAATTTGTTCAGGTTTGGTTTGAGTGTGATTCTTTGATTGTTGTTCTGGCTGTGACAGGGATTGCTCCTAGCCCAACTGAAATTCATCCAATATCATTTGATGTTCAAGTGGCACTGGGGCGATTCTCCTTTTACCATCTTAGCCATGTTCCTAGAAATAGCAATAAGGTCGCTCATGCTCTAGGAAGCTTTCTGGTCGACACATTCCTTCGAACATTGCTCTAGTCCCTAATATTCCTAGTGATATCCTTAATCTGGCAGTTAAAAAAAAAAAAAAATTCGTGCCCGCACATGACAGCAGGACAAGTCACTGTAGAAAATTGCGCCCCCTTAAAAAGACTTGTTTATTTGAACTCGTTTTTCAACCCAAATACAGTAGATATCCTCTAATATTTTGAAGCTAATTTTTCTTTATTAGAGTCTCTTAACTATAAATACTCAGATTTTGATGAGATTTTTACAAACTGATGACGGGATATTATTTTCAGTATTTTTGTGAGATTTGAAAGAAAAATCAAACTCAGTTTTTTCTCAAATTTCTTTCTTTCTTTCTTTTGTGAGTGCACACATACAAATGGGCTTACAAAGATCAGGGCTCAAATGTACAACTAACTGACACATGTCTGAACTAGACCCGGTGGTCCATTGCGCACCTCATCTTTTTCTCGCTAATGGATTTGATCCAATCTTTTGCAGGCCCTAATCTAACCACGGTTAAAAAGGTAACAAACCCTGGTCACTTCCCTCCCACGTCCTTCCGTATCAAACACCACAAGTTCACGACACGTGTCCATATTCAACGGCTGAGATTAATTTTCCATAGATAATACACCGTCTCAACCCCCTATATAAACTCACATTCATCACCTAAACCCTAGACGTGACGACTCAATCAACCACGCAGTTTGAGTTTGAGCTTTTTAGATCTGATAATGGCGAACCCTAAGGTCTTCTTTGATATGGCGATCGGCGGTGCACCGGCCGGCAGGATCGTGATGGAGCTCTACGCCGACACCACCCCTCGGACCGCCGAGAACTTCCGCGCCCTCTGCACCGGCGAGAAAGGCATAGGCAAGAGCGGCAAGCCCTTGCACTTCAAGGGCTCCAGCTTTCACCGCGTGATCCCCGGATTCATGTGCCAGGGCGGCGATTTCACCGCCGGGAATGGGACCGGCGGCGAGTCCATATACGGCAGCAAGTTCGCCGACGAGAACTTCATCAAGAAGCACACCGGTCCCGGCATTCTCTCCATGGCCAACGCCGGTCCGGGGACGAACGGATCGCAGTTCTTCGTCTGCACCGCGAAGACCGAGTGGCTCGACGGCAAGCACGTGGTTTTCGGTCAGGTTGTGGATGGGATGGACGTTGTGAAGGCGATCGAGAAGGTTGGGTCAAGTTCTGGAAGGACTTCTAAGGCTGTGACAATCGCTGATTGTGGTCAGCTTTGATCTGTGTGTGTGTTTTCAGATCTGTTAATGAGTGTTTAATATCTATCTCTATCTATCTTATCTTTTCTATCTTAGGGTTTTTATTATGGTGGTGTCATATGTGGAAGAACTTTTCATATGCTGAAATTGACTATCTAAATAAGATAGATTTACTTCTACTCAATATTCTCCCTTTTTCAGCTATGTTTGATTGCCGAGAAAGTGATGAATTGTTTTGCTTTCTGTTAAGCGTATTTTATTTTCTATGTTTTTCTCGGGAATATTTGTCGAGGGTCCTGTGGAATATGGTTGCAATAGATTTGACCCTTCATATATATATCTATAGATAATAGATATAGGTTAAAACGAGGCTTTGATTGCGCAGGAGAGAGACAAATAGTGGCTTAGTTATATTTTCGGAAAAAATGGTGGCTTATTTACATTTTAATAATCATATATTATATATAAAAAAAATTGATAATTTTATATTTAAGTGGCTCGTTTATATATATATATATATATATATAGGAAGATGTTTATGTATATCTGGAGTCTTGATGTTAATAGAGTTCAACCTTTACCTTTTGGGTATATAAGTTTTTTCAAAATAGGGGTCACCGATATCTATGAAGAAAAAATTGGAGATAATTAAAGAAATAACTAAATTCCTAATATTGGAGATAATTAAAGAAATAACTAAATTCCTAATGGAAGACAACAGCTAGTGATATATAGGAAAGAAAATTAGAAGTTCTTTATAATGAGTCATAAATTCTACCTAACAATAGGAGAGAAAATTAGTAGTTTTGTAATGAGTCATAAATTCTATAATGAGTCATTTGTTAGGTAAGAAAATTAGAAGTTCTTTGTAATGAGTCAGCTCTTTTTATACTTTTGGGACTAGGTTTGGGCAAAAAACTGAGCCTTGAGCCTTAATGATCAAAGTTTTTTTTAAAAATTATATAATATAAATGTTCTAAAAACTATTATAATAATAAAAAAAGCTTTGACTAAAGTGTTATATATATATATATATATTTTTCGGCAAAGGTCTAGATCAGGTTGGGACTAGGTTTGGGCAAAAAACTGAGCCATGAGCCTTAATGATCAAAGTTTTAAAAAAATTTATATAATATAAATGTTCTAAAAATAATTATAAAGCTTGACGAAAGTGTGGTATATGCTTAAGAATTGGAAAAAGAATTAAATTGTTATTAAAATAAGATTTAGAAACGTGAAAGAATAGGTTTGTAAAATTCAATAGCTAGTTAACATGTCCTTTCAAATCCATTCATTTTTTTTCCGGATTTCCTTGCATTACAATTTTTTCTATCAAATTGCCTTCATATCCAATTCCTTTTTAAAATCACATTGTTTCAAACAAGACAAATTCAATTCCCATCAAAATCCTGGAACAGTTCAGGATCAATGGTAATTCTCTACATTTCTTCAGGAAACCACCAAGCCATCCACCATATTCCTCATCACGGATAATCTGTGAAATAGATATTATTGCTTTAACGATTTAGAACTTTTTTTTTTTTTTTTTTTTTCTATATTTATTTATTTATGAGGAGGCCCGAAGTGACATGGGCCGGATATAACCTGCAAACGCGACATCAGGTCCGTACAGATGGGTCAAGCCCATAGAAAGACACTGCCATATGGGCCGAACGCGAATAGCCCATCAAAGATGACCAAAACTCACAGAGGAACGGGCCTAGATCTAGCAGTCCATTAATATTTGTAAGTATCTATAAATAGGAGAAGTAATGGATAGAGCAAGGGAGAGATATTTTTTGGGTTGAAATGTAAGAATTCTAGAGAGAGAAAGAGAGGACGAATTTCTTGCATCTTCAATTGGCGCCGTCTGTGGGAAGCGTTGAAGATTGATTGATCATTGATCAATATCGCGTGGATTCAGACCAATTCGTGGGAACGAAACTCGATCTTTGGGAGTTGGATCCAGATCTGAGCGATTGTGACCTACTCTGGAGGAATTTTAGTTCCTGTTGCTTTGGCGGAAGTGGCTTCAGATCTACGCAACAACGAGTTGTTCGATTGTGGCAGGATCTGACGGATTTAGAATTCGGACAATTCAGATCTCGTCAACCGTAAGCATAATTCGGAGAATTCGAAACCAGATCTGAAAAATTCGCACTCACGAAGCTCAGATCTACTCACGAACTTGAGATTAATGCCTTTACTCCGTTCAGGAATAATGATAGGTGAAAACTCCAATCCGATGGAGGCTGTCCAGCAAACGAAGCTTGAGGAGTTGATGAACTTGATCGAAGCTCTCAAAAAAGAGAATGCAGAATTGAAAGCTGGAATGCAACATCAGCAAATACCCGCGGTTTCGCATCCACTTCCCGCCGGTGAAGGAGGTGTTCAATCTAATATCGCGCATCAAGGCGAGCAGGATGAGAACAATCAGTCAGCTCTCCACCGTGATGAAAGGAGGATGGACGATTTGCCGCCAAATGCTCGTCGAGTTGAGGATCACGAAGGATCGACTCACGTTGATCCGCGACATGAGCAGATCAGACAGAACGAAGCCATGACCTTCGATCCGCATCGGGAAAGGTTTAACCGAGAGGAAGTGATAGAGGTTGATCGCCGCCGAGTTGTGTCGCCTTGGCAAAGAGAGCTCATAGAGGAACGGTCGTTCGATCCGTCTTACCGGCCTTCCATGGCTACAATCACTCATCGCGGTTCGGAGAGCAGAACTGTAGCTCACAGAACTACCACTGGGCTCCAGAGAGAGAATGAAGCACTCCGATCCGCGGCTCGGACGGTTGATTCACCATTCACTGACGAGATCCTGAATGCCCCGCATCCAAGGAAGTTTGCTATGCCAGTCTTTATTCTGTTTGACGGAACAACCGATCCGATCGATCATGTGTACCATATCCAGTTGAAGATGGCCCTGAATACGGAAAACGACGCTTTAATGTGCAAATGTTTCCCTACAAGCCTAGCTGGACCGGCGCTCAGCTGGTTCAAGAACTTGCCTAGGAGCTCCATTGGTAGCTTCCGAAACCTGTGCGATCGGTTCATAAGCCAGTACTATGGGAACAAGCGTCCGCCGAAGGACATCTCGAGCCTATTCACAATAAGGCAGCACAAAGATGAACGTCTCCAGGCTTTTCTCACCAGGTTTAATCTCACTAAGAGTATGGTGATCGAATGCCACCCTTCTACAGCGGTTCAAGCCTTCAAGTTAGCCATGACACGTGGCACTCCGTTCCATACCAGTTTGGTAGTGAACACGCCGACGACTATAGATGAACTCAATGAAAGAGCCGATGGCTTTGTGCGCCTAGAAGCAGAGGAGGCAGCCAATGCTCGGACAGCGTCGCTCGTGTCGTCCGAGGAAAAGTCCATGGCAAAGATCAGGCAGAAGCAGGCTCAGTCGCAACGTCAGACCTCCTGGAAGGCAGAAAAGAGGTCCAGGGAGGAAGAGCTGATCACTCCGCTGAAGGTCACTCTGGCGAGGCTATATCAGGAGAACAAAGATAAGTTTCATCCACCACTGCCAATTAGGCAACCCCTCGAACAGAGGGATCAGACTAAACATTGTGCTTTCCATTCCGATTTCGGTCATCAGACTAACGAATGCAGGAATTTGAGAAGGCAAGTGGCGATGTTGATAGCTAGAGGGGAGTTCCCGAGTTATGTTCAAGGCTCGGCGACAGAGTAGAATCGACCGATGGAACAAATAAAAAGGAGTCATAAACAAAGCTCCCACAATTCACAACCAGTTCGTATAATCAATGCTATCCACGGTCGACCCGAGCCTAGCGAAGATTCAGATGAGCTACTCCGAGCGCACCTACGGCAGGCGCAGATGAAGAAAAGGGTCAGCAGTGTGAATACTCTACACCAACAAATCACATCGATACATATAAAGTTCGACAGGACAGACCTGCAGCGTGTTCAAGTCCCCCATGAAGACCCGTTGGTAGTCAGTTTGACAGTGGCGGACTGCCTGGTGCGCAGAGTTCTGATCGATCCTGGGAGCAGTGCGAATGTCATGCCGAGGGACACATTTGATCGGCTCGAGATTAAACCAGAGAGGCTCAAGCCCACTGGAAATCCCCTGTTAGGATTCGATGGCAAGAGGGTGGAGCCCGTCGGAATGGTGGAAGTAGAAGTTCAAGCTGCAGAACGGGCTCTTATGGAAACTTTTGTGGTTGTGGAGATTTACCCCTCATACAATCTCCTGATGGGAAGAGGATGGATTCACAGAGTCCAAGGTGTACCCTCAACTCTGCATAAGGTCATGAGGTGCCTCGGACCCGATGGAAATAAGGTGATAGACATTCGTGGGGATCAGGTTGCAGCCAAAGAGTGTTATTCCGTCACACTAAAGTATGCTGGGAAAGGGAAGGCGCCCGTCCGATCGGCGAGCCCCAGATAGCAATTACAGGAACCTCCGCCCAAGCAGAACAGGGTGGAGGAGTCAGTTGACTTGACTGAAGAGCCCTTTCTGGATGTGCAGATCGATCAGTCCAGGCCAGAGCGAACTACCAGAGTAGGAGTAAGACTGACCAGGGAAGAGCAGCAAGAGCTAACTGACTTCTTGTCTCACAATGCCGATGTATTTGCATGGAGTCACCTAGACATGCCTGGAATTAATCCCTTCGTATCCTGTCATTCCTTGAATGTCAATCCCAATTTCAAACCAGTAAAACAGAAGCAACGAAGATTTGCTCCAGAACGCAACCAAATCATAGCCGAGGAAGTTGATAGGCTGCTTGATGCGGAATTCATCAGAGAAGTACACTACCCTGATTGGTTGTCCAACGTCGTTGTCGTGCAGAAGAAGAATGGGAAATGGCGAGTATGCATTGATTTCACCAATTTGAACAAAGCCTGTCCGAAGGATAGCTTCCCACTGCCAAAGATTGATCAAATGGTGGATGCCACCACCGGGTATGAGCGTTTAACCTTTCTGGACGCTTATTCAGGTTATAATCAGATCCCTATGGACCCGGCAGATGAAGAAAAAACTTCTTTTGTAACCGAGCGAAGGACATACTGTTACAAAGTTATGCCTTTCGGACTAAAGAACGCGGGAGCAACTTATCAAAGACTTGTTAGCAAAATTTTCAAGGATCAAATAGGAAAGATTGTGGAAGCCTATATTGATGATATGGTGGTAAAGAGTAGGAAGAAGGATGATCATCTGAAACATCTGC